CAGAAAAAGCAATTATGGATCAAGATACCATATGTAACTGAGTATTTTTCTACTTTCACAATTCACAATAAATCAATGCAATGAAAAAAGATGGGTCGTGAGTTTTAAATACATCATGTAAAAAAAAATTCTTTCGATGTAATTATTAATATGATCGAGGATGATGTCACCACTATAGGATAAATAAAACTTACGAAACATATAGATTTTTGTCTCGAAAAAGATACAAGAGAGAAAAATACAAAAACTTACAATGTTGAGATATATGTTTGTAGTGTATACGTTAGTTCATATCTGCTATATATTATTATTATTATTATTTGCATTCCTAAGATGTTTCATGATCTTTTATTTTGTTCATCAATGCTCTACTAATCATAAGAATCTACTAACCCATGACTATTTGTATTGCCGGGTAATATGGTACACATATGGTACTTTCTCGAATTGAAATTGATTTCTGTATAGTTCTGACATCTGTCACAGAGTAGATGGTACTAATACGGAGGGCGCCAAATTCAAACGTCTGATATTCCACAATTGTCAAATATCTTAGTAAATATCATTGTAATAATTTCATAAATATTTTTATCGAATAAAGATCATTTTTCGTATTGAGAAAATTATATCGAAATTCTGTTGTTGCTTCAATTTTCAATCGATGAAAAAAATATATTTAAGAATATATCAATAGAAAATTGATTCGTTTATTGATCGAACAAAAACATGGAAAACCGAGTAGTTTGCTTTGATGCTGTGTTCAGAAAGTGCAATGTTTAGCAAGTTAACAAGCTTTATTGAAACACTAACAGCTGCGAGGCGCATTAAGGTCACGTGTCAATTAGGGAAATATACGCACTACATATATGTACTAGTATAGGAATTCCACAAACTCATTGCGAACTAATGGATCTCTTGGAAGTTTGCTACATCAGTCTTTTTTTTCCAAGACCACGTTATGCTTCATTCTGATAATAATCGTTTTAGTTATCTCTTCAATACTTCAACAAAAGACACAACTTATTTAGATTTAACTAATAAGTAAGTAAAAATGAAATTTTTGTGTTTTTGTTCGGATATTGTATAGCAACGGCGGCAACTAAAACTCCCATCAAAGATCCACCATTATGCATATGATTATAATATGACAATAGCAAGAACCATTAAGCTTTCGCATGTGTTACTTGACTTCCATTACGCTTATTATCAGTGTTATCAAGTAAATCTGGCTTTATAAATCAGGTTTTCGTTTCCAGCTTGCCGGAGCTAGAATGCTGGAAACAGAGGAGAGAGGATACTTTCATTGGGCAGATTGGCTGGTGTTCGCGCTGATGCTCGGCGTATCTGCTGCCGCAGGATTATGGCATTACAAGGGAACACAGAAGTCGAGCACGGAAGATTATCTCTTAGGAGGAAAGAGTATGAACCTCCTTCCCGTGTCCGCTTCCCTCGTAGCCAGGTAGTCCCATTCTTCTTCGAATCTTTCTATTGTTGCCAAGTAAAGTAAATCATCAGAAATTTCATGCTTGATTTATCGGTGCTTGATCTGTGACAACATGAGTACAAGAAGAAGGATTTTCATTTCTTCTAGCTTCATATCTGGCGTGACAATTCTTGGAACACCCGCAGAGATATACAATTTTGGAACTCAATATTGGATTACCATTATTTCGATATTCTTTTCGGGCCTGGTCGTGGCTCTTGTTTATGCTCCGGTCTTCGTTTCACTGGGATTGAATTCCGTTTACGAGGTATATCCACTTTGTTGACTTAGGCGAATGTTAAAAAAATGTGTTGAAAACGTGTACGCATTATCTGCTTATGATTTTATTGTAGTATTTGGAAATGAGATTCAATCGTGGCGTAAGAATCCTCATATCGGCGATCTTCGTCGTTGACGTGGTGAGTGTTGACAATTTTGAACTAGATTTATCTCAATAGATTTATCTCAAGCAGTCTGAAATTTGTCATGTCACAATTGAGAAGTACATTTGAAACTTTGAAAATTCGGTTTGATTATTGATCTTAATTCGACGGAGGATTATTTGCAACCGAGTTACATTACGCCATGTTACGAAAGCACGAAACTTTAATTTGCTACTCTTTGAGAATAACCAATGGTACGGTCGATCCAACGTTTCATTAATAATATCGTTATAAACCAATTCTAGGTCCTTTACCAATCGATCGTGGTATACGTTCCAGCGTTAGCGCTAAATCAAGGTATTACATGCTCATATCATTCATAATAGAATATTAACCGAATATTACTAAAATCTTCCCGATTAATTACAGTCAGCGGCATCGATGTACATTTGATCGGGATCATTGTATGCCTCGTATGCGTGTTCTATACTGTTCTGGTAAGTTCACGTTTTGAAAATTTATTGTAATACGCTTAATCTACAAGTAAATCTACTGCGAACGAAACAAGATAATTCTTTGCAAATAGAATTTTTTTGTCTTTGTCGCCTAAATAATTTTTCATTGAAGATGTGTTATGGACGATCTTCGTTTGTTTTAACTTTTTTTTTTTTGAAATTCAGTAACTCGCGTTCATCTCAGGAATTCGTATAAATATCAAACATGTAGAAACTGTGTTCGCTGTCGCGCAAAAATTCTTAGGTCACCTATTCGAAGTTAAAAATACTTGGGCAGCATGAGGCAAGGACACGTAGCTTCTACGAGCTATAAAACTTGCATACCTCCACGGTGTTCCGTGGAAATGTTTTTTTTTTTTTTTGCCACGCTTCCTTTCCCTCAATAATAGTTTCATGAAGTTTGATCCTCGCTTTGCCTCTAAATATACGAAAAAAACTAAATTGAATAATTTAAATTTTCTTAATAAAAGCTCGTGTAAAACTAAGAAGTACGGACCGTTATAAATATCTGTCGAATTGCAAGACCGGAATGCAAGAGGGTAATAACGATTCAGTAGACAGGCATCAAAGTCTAAGATCATTGGACATATTTAATTAGGAGAACGTGATCGCGTTGAATGGTCGTGACGAAGCGGATTCATCGAAGCGGACCCTCGAGGAGTCCTTAACAAGACGTATCACGGTGACGAAACACACGTAAAACGAGCGTAAGGCAGACAGAAATCGAGTCTCGACCCGATGTTCTAGGTATATGCGAGCTAATTTTCCAAGGACGCCGGTTCGGCGAATTCTCTCAGGGATAGCTGAAGTTCCTCGGACGGGAGGATGCCGGTAGCTGGTAGGAAACAATTTTCGGTGGACAATGCCGCGAAGAATCTCTCACGCGGACCCGGCTACTGGAAATGTTTATGGACGGAAACTGAAAGCTCGACAATGGCCCGGCGGAAACAATGGCGCGGAGCACGTCGAGTGCTCGTTCCCCGTGGTAGCAGATCACAAAGCCAGCGCCGAAGTGATTAATCGCATGCTCGCGCGCGCTTGTAATTATTCAAGCAATTTGTTGTAGCCCGCGAATTAATGAAAATTTATCGCGGTCCAGTGACTCTTTGGAAATTTGTTTATTATAGCGCCGTGGCCGCTTTCGTACGTTTATAAGCTTGTCCTTCGCTTAACGATCTAACGTCTACTAAAACTGCGGCCCGCTTTTTCACTGACGGCTCTCTCAAGAACATTCTTCCGTAAAGTTTGATGGTCCTTGTTGTTGCGGCAGGGAAACTTCGTGTAATGATGCTTCGCAGGCATACGCTAATATTTTTTGTAGCTTTAAGTGTAACGATAGATGATGAGACGGAATTCAATGAAAGGGTAGTTAGTCACGATTGTTCGTGGCTATCGATAGATACGTAGATGAAAGGTGGGTTAATTGGAGAATGTGATTACCAGGGTGGTATCAGGGCAGTAGTTTGGACGGACGCGCTTCAGGTCGGAGTCATGGTTGCTGCTATGCTGACTGTTAGTATACTGGGCACTTATCATATTGGCACCGCTGAAATATGGAAGGTGTCGTCGGACACCAACAGAATCGAATTCTTGAAGTAAGAAGTATTTAACGTTACGGTGAAATAAATTTGCGAATCTGACCTTTCATGGTTTCTCCTTTCTTTTCATAGCTTCGATCCATCTCCTTATACAAGACACACAGTATGGACTGTGTTGATTGGCTCGTGGCTTTATAGCACCGCTTACATTGCCGTGAATCAGACTATGGTACAACGGTATAGATTATTGAAAGATCTGAAAACGTCCAAACTGTAAGTGAGTACGTCACAAATTATTCGTATTTTAGGAATAAAATTATTTAATATACTATTTATGTATCATTGTATATTGCGTGTAAATAATTGTAATATTATTACAATTGTAACAAATGATATATGTGATTTCAGGTCATTAGCGATATTTACTATTAGTATTATGTTATTTATTTCATTGTGCTGTTGGTGCGGCCTCGTTCTCATAGCTTGGTGGTCTCCACCTAAGTGCGACCCCAGAGCTATTGGTTTGATCACTGCTGATGATCAATTACTACCTGCTTTCGTAATGGAAATTGCAAATCATTTACCTGGAATACCAGGTCTTTTTATTTCTGGAATTTTTGGAGCAGCTCTTAGGTTTAAAATTAATACCTAATTCACCATGAATTTATCCTTGTCTATAAATTGTAACTTCTTGTTAAAATACATTTTATTTTGTTTTAGCACCCTCTCTGTAGGCTTTAATTCAACGGCCGTAGTAATTCTGGAAGATTTCGTGAAGGGTTGCTGCGGTATGAAACCAACCGACCGATGCTCCAACATTTTTGTAAAGTGTGTGATTGTCTTACTTGGTTCTCTAGCTCTGGGTTTACTCTTTTTGGTTGAGAAATTAGGAGGAGTTCTAGCTGTGAATATTTTGTTCGGTTACTTTCTTTACACACGATGTACCTTGAAATAAAAATTTATTACTTTCTTATTTCATTATAGATAACCGGAAGTTTAGCAGCTATTGCTGCAGGTACTTCTTTCGGAGTGTTCACACTAGGTATATTCTTCCCGTGGACAAATTCCAAGGTGAATGATTATTTGCATGTTCAAATTTGCCATAAATCTGTAAAAACATGCTACCAGTAGCATATACATCAGCATCACAATCGAGTAAGTATAAAAATTTCAACGTTTCTTGTTCTGCTGATTAGGGCGCGTTTATGGGTGCTATCGTAGGATTCGTTATTGCTGGCTGGGCGAGTTTAGGTGCAAATTGGTCTATCGGTGCCGGGTTGCTAGTTCCTAAGAAACTTCCAGTGCCCCTTTCTCATTGCACGGGCAATATCTCTGAAAGTTTCCTGAAGCAGTTTGATCATCCGAAGTAAGTCAACCTTAGCCTAGGCTGTAATTATTGTCTTTCATAATCAATTAAATTCTGAGTGGTCATTGCATTGCCGTTTAAGGATCAAAGTTTCGCGATCAGAGTTGAATTGTTCTGTCGTTGTATCTACTTGAAATTGGAAACGAGTTTTTCTTATCCCTGAATGGAATTCTCTTCTTTTTTTTTTCAGCGAAGACGAAGTGTTTCCTTTGTATCGATTGTCGTACCATTGGTTCACCGGTTTAGGCACGTTAATTGTCATCGTTGTGGGTAATCTTATCAGTTGGTGGACCGGCCCTACGGATCCTTCTTCTATCGACAAGAAGCTGCTCTCACCGCTAATTCATTCGCAAGTTCAAAATATTATCTGTTTGCTACTCGTTTGCCATAAAATTTTTATAAATTTTTGTACTTTTTAGATTGTTGCGGAAACGCGAGAATATTGTCCCTACTGAAAGTAGCGCTGGCACTAGCGATTTAGCGACAACAGCAAGTCTCTTGTTGTACGATTTAAAAAAGAAAAGGGTAAATATCGAAAGATAAATACCAAAAATATTCCCTGTTTAAATATATTTCTATCTTCGTTACAGAGAAATCAAAATTTTTCTAATGGCGTCATAACATAGTTCAAACGTCAGGTCCCAATCGTTTATAATAAACGTTAACAAACTGAAACTAAACTACTGTAGTGCCGTTTGGCAATATCGCTCCAGATAGTATCGGAAGACAAAATTTCCAGACCAAACAAACGTGAAGTTTGACTCTCTTTCAATATTCATTTAAGTTTAAACATCATTGTAGACAATAATGTTCGCATTGTTACAAGTCGTAGATCGACTCAATTGCACAGAGAGAAGTTTATATTAAGATACAATTACTAGAGACATTTATGAATTGTATTTTACAACTCTTAGAATTTATATATTTGGAATAAATTTTTCTATTCAATTTTGTGAACCGTTTATGAAGCGTTTCATGCGTATCTTTGAAACTTATTTACTTCAATTTTGTAGGAGATCATTTTGTAATCACGTTGGTAAGTGTCACTGTTTTTCATCATTGCAATCACCTCTATTAAATGATCATCCAGGATGACACAAAGTCAGTCGATAAACGTGGCAAGCTGCGTGAGAAAATCGCGGATGCGGAGAAGGATGAATTTTGCCAGCAGGTCCGGTTGCTCCTCACACCGAGTTCTCTAACTGAGTTTGTTCGGTTTTCAAGCTTTGGTGATTCCCGACGGTGTCCGTCGTGCGGAAGGTGAGCGAGTCGATGGAGGAACGGAGACGAAGGAGCAGAGAGAAGGACAGAGAGAGTAAACCAAGGGGAGTTAAGGCCCCAGGATATTAGCCGGCTTGTTAAGGGAAAGCCAACGCCGTCAAACGTCCTTATTAAGGCCACGCAAATAGCTGCTACGCTTCTCCATGCTTATCTCTTGACTCGGCTTCCTGGAAATTCAATTTTCGCCTGGTCGAAACGCGCCCGGTCAAAAGCGGCGTCCTTCCCCAATTCGATATTGTCGATCGTCAAGATCGATATTCGCCTTGGACAAAATGACATGAGGCGATTCGAAAACGAAATGGTTTTTAAGAATGCTAGTGACGAATTTATGACGCAATGGAGAGAAAGGATTTCTTGGCAAAAGAAATGTCGGAAAGCTAGTGAAAAGAGAGTTTTGTTATCTTAACGTTATCGCTTCGATAACACGTGAGTGAAGGTATAATCATTTCTTATTCTTTCATTTTGTTTACGTTGCAACAATGTTCATCAGGTAATAGAATTTCCGTGATTTAGTGTAAAATTTTTTCCCATGCGAACTTACGAGTGGATCTCTTTCCACAAGGGAGTTGAAATCGTTCTGGTTCTCTCGCCTGGGCCGAGGCTTAACGATCCCGAGTGCGTTCTTTTTTCTAGCGGTATCGCGGGACGAAGATGCGTGTTGAATGGGAGCGTAGCCGCGAATTGCGCACGGTGCATGCGAAGGTTTCATTAAGAGGAGCGTGCGACACGTAGCGTCGAAAAGAAAATTGCGAGTTGCGGGCCGCGTGCAGGGCTTTATTAAGCGCGCTTCATGCGCGATTTGCATTCGTCTGGGTCGCTGATAGATTTGAAATTCCCACGTAGAACGTGCCACGGTTATATAGGGTCGAGAATTCGAATCGGGACGAATACCCGGTGACGCCTGGGAGTGGAACGTACCTACGTAACCACGCGTGATTGTGTAGACGAATGAAGCGAGTCGAACAGAGACCGAGAGTAGAGATAAGGTACGTCGGACGAACGGATTGAAAGAGGAGAGAGAGAGAGAGAGA